CCTCCGTCGCCGCCAACCTCGCCCGTAGCTTTTCAGCGTGACACCAAACTGTTGTAGTAATTAATAATAGCAGGCAGCAACAACAAATTATGTTTTTAATAACTGTAAATTTGTAGTTGTAAAAATTTACGATTTAATTGCCAAGCGTTTGGATTTATTATAAGTGCTAAGTTATTTCATTCGTTGCATATATCGTGCTATAGTTATCACATCTGTGTGTTTGCATGTTTGTGTGTGTGTGTGTGTTTCTGTGAGAGTGAGTTAAAAGTGTTGTATGCCTTATAAATGCTCTTTACCTTAAGATGAGCACTGGCCCGCCCAAGAAGTTGCTGGCTGGGAAACAATAACGCTGCCAGCATTGACCTAGGCCTCGACTAGCTAAGTGAATTCGCCAAAAATTGTCTACATCCGATGTCTTTGACTGACTGGCCAGGCTAAGCTAATTGAATGGCGCTGCCAGTCCGGCTGCAAAAGTCAAGATCATTCATAACAACGTCACCGTTGTCTCCATCTTCATATCCATCTCCATCTGCCGCTGCAACTGATCAAACTGCTTTTCAGCTATCACAGCCGCTGCACTTAGCCGCGTCCCAATCGCTGGCTGCTTAGCATTTTTTGCTGGCCATTTTGGCTCAATCGTGCTCGTCGTCGACGACGTCGTCACCATCACCATCACCATTGCCATGGCTATTGCCGTTTTGTTTAACTACAATTACTTATTTAATCATAATTTTGTTCGCGTTTCAACAATCATCAATCATCAAATGCAATGCCGACAGCGGCCGGCAGAATTCTGTGACTGGGCCAACTGTCAGCCTGACAGATTGCCCGCTTTCAGCGAGAGCAGACGCTAGTGAGCAGGAAACCGGAGAAGGAGATGGAGCGGCGATGTAGATGGAGATGGAGATGGAGAGGAAAAAGAAGCTGGTCAAGCCAAGTGGAATGCGCTGCATGCCTCAGCTATGTGGCAGCACGGTCTCCTCGGCTAGCTGTTCGCTGCTCCAGCTGTTTAGCGCAAAAAAAAAAAAAAGAGTAGCGTCAGCGGCAGAACGCTACAATTATCTAGTCAGCAGTCAGTCAGTCAATCGGCTCGTTGAACTTGCAACCGGCGCTTCAGCTGTGGCTGTTGCTGCAACCGCTGCAGCCAGCGCTGCCGTTGCCCAGCAGTCCCCGCTGTCCCCGCTGCGGTCGCACAAATCAATCGATCACGTTTTATAATGCCGCAGCAGACTTGGTTTTCGAAAAAAAAAATAAATAAATAAATAAAAATAGAGGAAAAACTGAAGCGCAACTGAATGAACTTTCCAAATGGGCAGCGCGCGGCTCGCGAAATGCTGTCGGCGTCAACTGAGCAGCTGCAGTCGGCGTAGCATCGGCCAGATGGATTGATTGATTGCCTGAAACAGTTAGCAGACATTGTCTGGCTTGGCTTATTGCTATTTATGATCTTGATCTATGGATCGAGGGCAAAAGCACATGCGGCGACGTCGTCGTTGTCGGCCAGCCAGTGCACATGCTGATAATCAGCACGAAGCCGAATACCGATGCCATAGCCGAAGCCGAAGCAGTTGATGCTGATAATGACGCTAGTGCTGGCCTTGATTGCGGCTTTCTTGCTGAGGTTTCTGTTTTTTCAATCATGTTCGAGTGCAGCGTGGCATGGTGCTGCAATGCAGTGCCGAGCAATCAACGCTTAGTACATGCAGCAGTTACCGCCTAGTTTTTGATTGAAAATATTTTCAAAATTGTTACAGAAAAACCTTTAAGGGTAACACTGCCCCAACTTAGCCCAAAACAGAGCAGAGCACAGGTTAAAGAGCTGCTTGGTGTTAAGTGCACGATAATCGATTCGACTCGTTGCAGACCAGCTCGATACTTGGGCCAATTTTGGTGTTGGCGTTAAACGGCCAAACGAAAATTGCCTATTTATGGGCTAAAGCATTTACTGTTGTTGCTGTTGTTGTTTCTGTTATTGCTGTTATTGCTGTTGCTGCCAACAGACAGGAAACCATATATTTGCATGTGCACAAAAAGAGTCCATTAAATTTTGGAAAAAAATAAATGGGAAAAAAACCAAAAATCAAATATGTACATTAAAATGCATTACATCACCTCGCATTGGGCATATAAAAGCGGCATATTGCAGCGCACGCAAAAAAATGACAAAAATCGCAAGCGGCGACAATAAAAAAAAAATGCAACTGGTTAACACAATTCGCGAGTTTTTACAGTGTTTTAATTACGCATGTGCCAAAAAGACGGCGTTGTTAAAAAGAATTATTTTTGTAATTTTTAATTTGTGCTGCTCGACAGCGATCAATGAAAAGTCAATAAAAATCGCCAGCCAGACGTTCACACGATCAGTTAGTCGCACACACGAGCCAAAGAGTTATCATTGCGGCTGAGTTTAACATGTGACTAAGGTGCCGACCAGCAGCAACAACGACGTGTTAAGTAGCATTTTATGAGATCATTTAAGATGACGGTGTTTGTGGCGGCGCTGGCGGAAACGGCAACAGCTGCAGGTGCGCCAGATTTTGGTGTAAGCTGGCCAAAAAGTCTGCTAAGCTGCCAGTCAGTTAGCATGCTAATTACACGCCAGCAACATGTCGCCAAGTAGCTGCTGTTTTCGTTGTTGTTGTTGCTGCTGCTGCTCAGAAATTTGGCGCACATGCACATCAAAAGACTTTTGGCGTCGAACCTGCAAAGGGAACACTAAGATTAAATGTTAGGTCAATGCGGAAACAGAGTATGCTAATTGGCAAATTTAATTTTAATAAAAAAGAAAAAGAAAAAGAAAAAGAGCATTAAAATGCAATTCTGTAATCTATCGTGATGGCAACTGTTTTAGGCCGCTGCAAATGCGCTAATGATTTATTTAAAGCATATAGTCAGGATTGAGGCAGCCCGACCCCGACCTTAACTGATTGGCCGGTGGGCAAGCTGGGTGGGCGTCATGGACTAGGCCGCACCCCGTGTGCGTGGCATTGGCAGCGACCCAGCCAAGTGACCCCACCCCACTCGTCTATCTGTGGCTGCGTATCTGCGCCTCGGGTGTAAAACGAAATCGACATTGAATGCGCTACCACAAAATTGTGTGGAGTTTTTGTTGCGGAACGAGCGGGGCGGGAGTGAAGTTGGCCATTTCCGTTCAATAGCGGCCAACATGATATCGCACATTTCAATCAATGTACTTATTATTGCCGACGTCGACGATCGGCTAGCTTGCTCTCGGGGCATTCCCGTTAGTATAATAGACCATAAAGGTGCGCTCAAAATATCGAAAAATTTCACTGCCGCAACCGCAAAATATATGCCGAATCTTTGGCTAAAGCGTGAGATGCGACCACATGCAAATTTATACACGACGCGATGCGATTTAGCAGCAGCCCAAGATGCGAGAATCGCGGGATCCACGAAGCGTTCGCCTGACTGACACTTGTCAACATTTTGGCGCTGCCATTTTGTTCTCGACTAAACTATGCAAATATGTGTCAAGCCCGATGGCAATGGCAGAGTCATGTCATCTGCTTGACAACAACAAATGAAGATCAAAGTTGGCTTATTTATTTTATATGCAACACATGAAGCTGAGTTGCAGCTCGAGTCGGAGTATAAAAGCCGTTACGCCCCTGCAACTGCAACTGCAACATGTAGCCAGAGCCAGTCAGCCAAAGCACTTGGCAAACACTTGGCCCGGGAAACTTAATACAACAACGACAACAACAACAATAACAGCACCATTGCCGGCAATGGCAACACATTTTTCGCGCCCAAAAGTGTTGGAGGCGTTTTGTTGTCCACTTAGAGACGAGGGGCTGTCTGTCGGTACGCCAGCAGCCGCCGTCTGGCAGGCAGCCACTAAGCGTCTTAGGCACACGTCAGACTGTCGCTTCTGTCGGTGGCATGTGTTGCTGCAGTTGCAGATGTTGTTGTTGCTGCTGTTGTTGTTGTTGTTGTTGTTGGAGTTGCCTTTTGTTGCCTTTTGGCGCCCGTGGTTGTTGTTGTTGCTATTGTTGTTGATTGTGGCATTTTGATTGATTTCTTTTGACTTTTGGCAGCAGTCGCAAATATTTGGTAATCCTACAATCCAGCTAAGCCAACGAGTCAGCCAGACTACAAGACGCTTCATCAGCAATTTTAATGCATACGTTAGTATTTTAACACCTTGGAATTGGCAGTTGCAACAGCCGTTGACTATTTTTGGTATTTTAATGCCAGCTTAGTGCAACTTTCTACCAAAGCCGACAATGTGATAGAGTTGAAATCAAAAAATCTCCTATGGCTTATTCTGCGCACCCGTTTATGTGCGTGTGTGTGTGTGTGCGTATATATATGCATTTCTGTGCGTGTGTAAATGAGTATTTTTTAAAAGTTGTTCAAGCAAATTGACCATAAACTTGATTTCAGCGCACATTCAGCGACAATTTGTCAAAAATTCTGGCAGCCTTTTGCAGCAGCTCGAGTATTAAGGTCAACGTCGGTATTTAATTGAACACCTGGACGACCACAGCGATGACGCGGTGGCCAGACCGACACCGTCGACCAGGGCGGTCCGCATCTGACAGTGACTCATACGATTGGCTCCAAGGTAAAGACAAACCTTTTGCCATTCTGTGATTGTGGAGCATTCATAAATTTCTGCATGTGATTATGTGCATATGCAAAATAGCGTGAAAATGTTGTTATACGTGCTTTCAAAAATGCCTGAGCCTATTTTGTGTTGATCAATAGAGAATTAGGATATCTGTACAATTTTTACAAATAGCATGCAAGTTTAGACTTTCTGACTCTATTGCAGGTGTTGGTTAGTTTTAGAACCTAATTCGTTTGCGCTTGTTTCCCGGATTTAGCATAATTTGGTTGCTCTCTTGTGGTTGCATCTCAATTCTGTGGCTGAAATGAGTCTTCGTATAGATCGTCGTGATGTTGCGGTGGCTTCCTGACAGCCAATTTGCATTTATTTTATATGGCACAAAGCAACAATGACTTGGATAGCTTTATAAGCTATCCAAGCACACGTTGACATAGAATCGCAGCAGCTCGACTGCAAACACAATAACCGCTAAGCATAACCCGCCACCATAGGAAAGCCAGGCAATCTGAAAGTCCTGTAGTCGTAGCTGTTGGACCTGGTTGGGATTACTGTAGTCCTTGAGCTGCATGCGATCCGCTTTTACCATGTCAATAAAACTTTGTCTCATCCAATGCAAAAGAAGGCCCGATTCTTGTGTCCTCATTGTAAATAGCTTCAGCGTTTTATGATATATAGACTCATCGGACAAGAGGATGCTATATGGAGTATTGTGAGCCAAACACAGCTCTGAGTAGCGAAAGAGCGGACTTTGGAAATAATTTTGTTGCGCATCCATTATGACCCATTTGATTGTCGTGATTGTATATGCCCAGCTGGTGTTGAAGCTGTTTCGCAGTTTAAAAAGCTCGCTTACGTTGTTGGTCAGCCTGAATGCTGCTGCATATCTGGCTCGAAAGTCCCCATCCAAGCTATCAAACTCGGAACGTAAGCCAAAGATGCGTAGGTCCGATGCAAGCAAGGCATCAAAGCTGTCAATGGGGGTTTCCTCGGGACACATTATCATCAGCGAAAACAGCTGAGCCTGACAGGCACATATAAGTAATAGAGTCAGTAACCTGGGCGTAAGGTGCAGACAACGACGGCAGTGACGAATCCAGGTCGGTAAAGGGACAACTTCCAGCAAGAAAGTTAAGTAGTAACAGCCGAAACTGATCAGCAGCAGGGCCAGCGCCTTGGCCTCCAGAATCCGTTCATACACTGCGCGCACCTCAATGGGACGCTCCAGGGGCAACATGATACACCAACTTCCATAAACGATCGGATATGAGTATTGATAATACCTATAGAAAAACTGATGTAATATAAGTACTACTTTTATACACGAAGCCCACTGCAAATGGGTAAAATATGATATCATGGTATTGTGCAATTTTATATAGCAGGCAGATGTCGACTAATTCGGATTCATACATACATTCAAAGTTGATCTAACTATGTCCGTCCGTTTTTCTGCTTATCTACTTGCCCGTATTTATGAACGTGTCGATCCCAAAGGCTGTGAAAGCGGCATACTTGAAATTTTAAATAGAGCGTCTTATTCTGTTACTTATAACTTGCCGTTTCCTTGAAATCGATAAAAGTCTATATTCAAACTCGGTATTTAGGCATGTCTCAGAGCTAGAGACACCCTTCATAGTATGTCGACTTTTGCCTATTTCACTTTTTGGATAGCTCCTTGATTGGATATACAGTCTTGACCTTAGGTGTTTTCAATCATTTAGGTGACATGATTGAAAAATTCTTGAAGAAAAATTCTGATCTGAATATAAGGTCAGCTCGGGCCTGACTTCAGGATATCTCGTATTCGGGCACTTTTGACCAGAGCACGCTTATTCGTTATATAAGAAAATCGGTGCTTACCCATTTCGAGACCTTTCCACCACCTGTACAGTGATCAATCCGATGTCCACGCTTCCATTTTTTGTGAATTCCAACATATACGCTTCACCCAAATTTCTTCCGGGCCGCCATGTCGGTTGGACCACGCTCAAGCTGGCCCCAAGTTTCTTGGCAAATGTGTCTATGAAATTCCACATAAATCCTGCGATTCGTGTTACTCCGAGTGCATCGCGATAGAGAACCGTATTTGGCTCAGAAAAATCGGGCATGACGCGCAGTGTATAGCCGTTAAGATTGTTTAACTGGTTAGGAAACAGTTGACCTCCTTGTTTAGCTAAGCTTGAACTAGTAAGGCGATTCTTGATCAGCGAGAAGTTAGGAAATGCCAAAAAGTTGTAAAGAATTACAGGCCTTGTCCAGTCCTGAAAGTACAGCGCCACATTTAGCATGTAGCTCTGCAGGCAATGCGAAAGGATTTGAGTAGCCAGCGAGTCCTTGCTTGAGCTAGGCAGGAGGCTGCTATTTATCAGTTCTATAAGCACAGGTGCATCCCGCAAATGATTCAGACTAGCTGTTAATCCAGCCAGCTCATTCATATTGAAGCGGTCAGTCAAGCAGGCTAAAACAAACAACTCACTGGCTTGTTGCTCTTTCAGTAGGGCATATGGCATTTGACTGCGCCACACCCACTGCGGCTGGGTGGTTAAGTTGTGTTGCTGAAACGATTGCCAGCTGCATTCCAGCTTACTTGGATTGTAATAAAATATGCTCCTTCCATCGATGACCTGCAGTACCAAGGCATACAGCTGGTAAATATCCGAGGCGAAGCTTTCATTAATGTTGACCCACATGTCGAGCACAAGCTACCACAGAACACTGCAGTAAAAAGTAAGAAGAGAAGTTATTAAAACCTGCACATTGCATTTTACATTGTTTACATGTGCAACGGACGTAATTGCCTGGGGATACAGGATATAGCAATTAGGGCAATGACATGTCCGTTTAAAATGCAAACTTATCATTTAAATAGTTGAAGTGGCAAAAAAGTGGCACGTATATTAATCAATTGTTGTTGTTTGTGCATGTGCCACATATCATTATCTGTCGAGAGCGAGAGAAAAAATTTAAATTTTTGCCCTTGCTTAAATGCACAACTCTTACCTAACCGACCACTTGTGTCTGCCTTTTGGGTAGTAGCCGCTGGATTTTATACCAATTTATTTCTTACATTTTTATTGTTTTTACCTGAATTTGCCGCATGCCAGAGTTCATATGGCGTTCTTTATGTCTGCAATAAAACATATGTGCCGCCTCAACTGATCCTTCATGACAACAGCAACTCCCATAACTGCGGGTCACTTGGAGAAAGTTACAACAACAACATTCATTTTAAGGTCGGAGAGTAAATCTTATAAGTTGTATTTTCGTGTTTCATCGACCTTCGGCACAGTTTTATCAAATAATTTGCAACAAATTATAAGCATTAGGCCAACGAAAGAGTGTCAGCACTCTCCAATGACACCTATTGCACGATTACGATTCCAAATTGCCCCACATGTCGTGCGGCTGGAAGATCGGCCGGCTCCGCCATCTCTGGATTAGCTTTTCCACAGGCAGCCCACGGTCACGGCCACATAATTTATGGATCGTGTTGTGAGAAATTTGTCAACAGATCGTGGCGCCATAAATTTTTTTTTTTCGTCTTCCCCTTATTTTCTATTCTTTTAATCTTGTATGACAATTGTCTAATGCAGGATCAGGGCTAAAAAAAATATATGTGCCTGTCTGATTTTCAAAGTGCAATCAATAATTTCAATTGATACATTTAGACAATGATTAACTCTTTGAATCTCTTTATTTTATCAGAAAACTTTGTGATAGATACATTTTTCAAGCGGCTGCGTATGGGATGTTACGATGATATTAATAGAAACTGAATAATTTGTTGCTTGTTTATTGCTTGGCCAGCGAAGTATCTGGATTGTTTTCAGCTCTGTTTGAAGTGTCAGCTCTCCTGCTTAAATAGTAAAAAATCGTGCTTACAAATTTGTATTATGTTGCTGCAAGTAAATGTCTTTTATTATGGCGAATAGTTCTTCGTTTTATGTAAATCGAATTGGCCCAGACGGACAGACAACCTACCAAAGAGTAAGAGACATGGTGCCGTACTTCAACAACATCACAACTTCTCAACGGGGACTAAGCCACAATTTGTTAGCTGATACTTGGGGTGCCTGTTGCCAGGGTTTTACATAATTTGCTTGTTTTCTTGCGGTTTCCCTGCTTGTTCCTCATTTCTGAGGCTGAATTGAGTCTTCGTGCCGTTCGTCGTGCCTCTGCGGTAGCTTCTTGCCAGGCGATTTGCATTTATTTTTATTTGCGAGGCACACAAATAGCGAAAACAAAACAATACAACAAGGTGTAAGATGGAAGCTTTATTTGCAACATTTTCACTTACTGCAAACGCCACCATCTACAGCCTGTTCGGATACACGACTTACGCCGACAGGACATGGAAATCTAAGCAATGCGATTTTAATTAACTTAGGAACTATCGTCCGCCGTGGCGAGTATTAGTAAACAAATTTGCATGACTAATTGTCATAAGGAAAATTGTTACATGGGGCGTGTCTGACTCATGGCGAGAAAAAAAACCCTTTCCACAGAATTGTTTATACTATTACATTGATACATTCGGTAATCGGTAATCAAATTGGCCTGTTGCATTTTGGAGAATCCGAGAGAAAGGCTGCAGGAATAGAATTGGCTGGGTCTGACATTGCAACTGTTTCATCTATATCCTACCGTCTCCTGGCCTGACAAGGAACTGTACTGTGTTCTTCGAGGGCTGCTTAAATTGTGGTGTCACCGTTTTTAAGGGCTGACTTGCAAAACTCTATGGACTCAATTAACATGCAATTGTTAAGCATGTCTAGCACAATTAGATAAAGAGCTCGCCCAAGTTAGAGTATGAAAGCAAAAGTTTCGGCTTGGAAAACTGTTGTTGGCTTGACCTGTCGCCTGACTGGGCCAAAACAGTTGCCGTAGCTGGCTGCCCACTTGACTGGGTGCACAAAACAAGCGTGTCGACAATGGTCAAATGTGCAGGCCAAAGTGAAGATGCAGCTGGGATCGCAGACCCCAGGCCTCGACCACGAGACACTTGCATACAATGAATTGTTTGTCTTCGCTTTGCGCTCTCCCATAGACACAGACCTAGACACACTCACAATCACACGCAGAGACACCCACATACCTGTACACTTGTGGCTATGGCTCGGGCTTAAGCTTTGCCCCTGTACAAGACTGGCAGCAATGTCCATGTCCATGTCATCATCATCATCGTTGTCGTCGGGCTTGTTGTCTCTATGGCTGCATCGTCCGTTCGTCCGTATGTCTGGCTGTCTGTCTGTCCGCTTGGCTGGCTGGCACTTGTTTTATCGTCATTTTACAAGCATTTTTCATAAATTACAGTTTATTGTTGTTTGATAAACGGCCAACGGTGGGCGCTACTTGTATTTGTATTTTGTGTGTCCAGCAACGACACGCAAATAAAACTCAAACAAGAAATTATTGTAGTTTTTATTGTATTAACGTCAGCATCGTTGGCGTCGTCTTGCGCCGCTTGCCTCAGTTGCTTGATAAGTTAAGCGTTGACATCTTTATGTGCGTGTGTGGGCACTAAACAAGCAGTCGACAATCGGCAGTTGTCAGTTGCCAGTTGGCAGATCTGACCACGAACCAAGAAGAAGCCATCATAAAAATCAAATAAACAAATGCGTGTACAATTTAAGTCTGCCTCGTGTTGTGCGTTGATGACAATTAAAAATTCATGATGCGCTTTTTAACGATCATGAGAACTTTTATACAGCATCTGCGCAGGTGCTCGAAACTGTAACTGAGAGACTTAAAATGTTTCGAAATCAAATGGTCTTCCCAAAACAGCTGCAGCTCAGTTCCTTAAATATATTCAAGGGAATATTAAAATAATGAATAAATTTGTATAGTAAGGGCACAATTTGTAAACGCTTTATATATATTTATAAAACTTCCTAAAATCTTCTAGGGTAATGTACTCTTCTTGAATTTATAAATATATTTCAAATGTCTACTATTTCTATAAACATTATACTTTACTAGAATATTAACTAATCAATAATTATGCTTGATTGCCAGCGAGTAAAATTAAAAATTCAAATAAAAACAAATATTTTGAAAAATATGTTTTCCAAGCTTGTGCAAACACAAAGCGTTAGCTAAAGAAAACCCCAACTTGCCCAGTTTTGTGATTTACGATTCACTCAGTGGCCCCTCAGGGCGCCAGCGCGCAAATTACCAATGTAAAAATGCATGAGCGAGTGAGTCTCGAGTGTGCGGCAGCATTTGCATAATTTTATGGTCGCAAATTCCACTTAAACAACTTAATTAGATCTAAAAGTAAAAAGGCATATTTGAATGCACTTAAATAAACAAAATCGAAAATGGGGAGCATGTCCCTTCGGGCAGCAGCTGCTGATTTATTGGACTGGCGTTTACCAATAGCACCATTTTAGTAACTGAAACTGAGTGATTTAGCTTTTAAACTGGCCGATTGAGTGAATGACGTATCTGGCCAGCCAATAAACTGGCTGCCAAATGCAACGCCCGCCGTTTAGTTTAACTGTCTGTCGACTCTCGACCGGCGCGGGCTAAAACGCATTCGTCTTTAATGGCCGCTAATCTAGTTAACAGTTTTTCAATTATAAACGATTTTGTGCAACTGATAATAAATGCGATAAAACATATTTGTGGCCAGCGCCAATGTTTTGTTGTCAGGCCGATGCGAGGCGGCGATTACATCAGAGGCAACGGGCGGTCGGGCGGTCGGGCGTATTGCGGTTGCAAATGTCAAAATAATTTGGTTTTAGCTTTGGCTCGTTATCTCAGCTAGTTAGCTGCAGGCGTTAACTGATTTAGTGGCCTACTGGATGCAAACCATTCGTTAAATTACAAAAAACATTATTAATGCTCGGATTGGGGCTGATATCATTAGAGGGCCGCCCTTTGATTTAAGAAATCTCTAATTGGCAATTGGAGCAGTTAATCTTTGAGTCATTTCTCAATTCAATAGATGCTTATAAAATTGCGTATTGAGAAATCGCCACGTCGCGACGCCCAAAGACGGCAATGTGCTCCAAACAATCTTTCTTGGCAACAAATAAAATTAATGAGCTTAGAGCTGGACGTGGACAACAAAATAAAAAATCACTGCTGCACCGCTAACCCACTTCAAGTGGCTTGCAAATGTCAGTAAGGCATTTTTTGATAAATGTGCCAACCGGCGACGTTTCTATGCCAAACGAAAATGAAAATGTTTATGTAGCCCCTCCCGAAGGGTTGCCGTCGCCGTCGCCGTCACCGTCACCGTCAACACAGCATTTGCCGTTTTCACTGCAGTCACAGTCACAGTCACATCATAATGATGCCCTCTATCCGTGCCAGTCAGCGGCGGAGACGGCGGCCGTCCTTAACCAAGTCGTGCGCCGTCAACAAGGAATATGTCAGAGGCTGAGGCTGAGACCTCAACTGAAGTCTTTTCGGTGGCTCGACGTGTGCCTGTTTAGCAAACATTGTCTGGGCCGTGGAACAGCCACTTTTGACGAGAAGTCAAAATGTTGCAAATGTGTTGCTGCTTTACATTTTTTTTTTTTGCAGTTTTAGTTTTGCTGCTTTCCGGCGTGACAGCTTTGGGCCATCAAATTGCAAACTAATGTCGAAAATTCAGCTATGCAAAACAAAAGCCCAATCCGAGTCCCAATCGCACATGTCTGCGCCGGGGGCGCTTCTGCTGCGCCGAATTTCAAAACTGCGC